GTTTGCTCTTAAGCGTGAGCTAACGCGTTGTTGCCCTAGCGGCTGGGATACCCCCCCAGCCGTTAACCTCTTCGCCGGGCTCCCTCAGCTTGGGTTAGGGGTAATTTTTTATAGAGGTTTTCTTCCTCGCGGCCTTCTCTCCCCTCCTCCCCGTTCGAGAAGACCCCCGCTCCCGATTGCTCGGCGTTTACGGGTTGGGCCGATCGGTTGCCGGAGTTCGGCAGTGACCGCCGCCAATTACTCCATGCGGAACTTTTGACGGCAATCCCGTCGCCCCCATGAGACGTCGTCTTCCGACGTAACCCTCGCACGTGCCCTCTGCGTAACAGAGGGACACGTGGAGAGATAAGTCTTGGTATTTTTTTTTTAATTGGGACTAATCCCACCCACACGCCCACCACTGTAACTCCTGTACACCAGGATCCACAGCAGTGACCCACGAACACACCGAGTTATGACACTCGGGAAGTCCCAGGAAGAAATTAAACTGTCTTGGAACCCGCAACGAAATTAATCAGAAGAAAATTGGAGGAGTTGGAAATACAGTAAATCCACTTCCCTCCTTAGCAAAGCGGGAGACAAAATGAAGTAAAATAGGCATACACCCTTTTAAACAGGGAAGCACCACGGCCACAAAATATTACGGGTCCTACATGAGCTATATTTGATTTCTATAATATGTATGGCAGAATCGCCTAAACGCACGGAAATTCACCCTAGTTGACACAAGATCCCCATAGTATACCCGCCCCAGATGTCACCTGCAAGCTATTCAGCATTATATTACGTTCATCATACCAAAGACTACATTCCCAGAGGATATGATGAGCAGACTGTTCATAATGAGAGTTAGGTGTTGAGCATTGACACAATGGTGACTCGACTAATTTAAAAGAATACAACTTGCTCTTAAAGTTACCATGACCCGTAAGAAATTGAGCGACACAGTGATCCACCTCAAGCCATGTCCTCGACAACCGTTCGCGAACAGATGGAAAAAATTGGTAAAGATGGCGCCCCTTGGATGATTCGTCCCAGCGTTGCTGCCATTCGTCTATGAGGTCATTATAGACATCGGACTGCTGTTGAAGCAATCTTGTAATTTTACCGCGATCCCGCGCGCCCAAGAAATCGCATTCCATGTTTTGTCCTGAATAGTACATGGCTGCACGTCTCTGCACCTCGAGATCGACCGGAAGGACACCCGCCAACACCGGCAAAGCCTCAGTGCTAACCGTCCTATATGCCTTGCACAAAAATATCAGTGCAAGTCGTTGGTCTTGTAACAGTTTGCGACGGACAGCGCCTACGGTCGCCCTATCGGCCCATACAGGTGCACCATAGCACATAGAACCTAAATAAGTAGCTCCGTATATGATCTTTAATGTATTAAATGATAGACCCCATGTCGCAGTTGATATCCTTGTCAATGCACAGAAACTCTTTTTAGACTTTTCATTAACTATTTTAATATGTTCGATAAATGAAAAGTTTCTTTCTAAAACTAATCCTAGATAACACACTGTGGTTTTATTTTTTACAGTAACATTGTCAAATCTAATGCTCGGCGGTGATTTGAGGTTACCTTTTAAAAGTAACTGGAAGGTTTTTGTTGGGTGCAAAAGTTAAGCGATTACGTTCACCCCATTGAGATATCAAGTTCAAACATCTATTGGCTAATCTCTCAAGCCCCGCCCTAGTATCAGATTCCACCAGTAATAAGCCGTCATCAGCATACGCGTTCAGAGTACATCCGGATGGTATTGGTATCGTAAGAAAATCGTCGAAGCCGATATTCCACAAGTATGGACCTAGCACCGATCCCTGAGGACATCCCATTGTAAGCGCCTTCGACACAGAATGATGACCAAGTCTTAGTTTAGTTGTACCTTGTGAAAAGTACGAAGAGATAAGGGAATAAATATTTTTTAAAACACCCCCGTGATTTTAATTTCAGCAACAGCATGGGCCACCATGCGTTGTCGAAGGCGCCAGATATATCTAAGAAAATAGCCAGCACGTATTGAAATTTTGATTCTGTGACAAACTTTCTAACCGATATAACAGCGTCAGTTGTCGATTTACCCAACGTAAATCCAAATTGTCTATCATGAAATTTGACTCCACCTGGCAGAAGCCGGGGCACTACAAGACGTTCTAAAAGCTTTCCTAACGATGGTAACAATGTGATTGGTCGGTAGGATTTAGGATCATCCGGTGGCTTGTCGCCACTTTTTGGTATTATACGAATATTACCGCACCGCCATATACGAGGAAATATTCCTTCAGCAATGCAACGTTTAAAGACAGTGAAAATCGTGTCACCCGAAAGTTTACAAGCTTCTTTTATCATTTTGTTAGATATTTTATCATCACCCGAAGCCTTGTTTAGCGGCAAGGATCTAATGATACCGAGAAATTCGTCTGAAGATGGTAAATCAGACATTGGAGACAGTGGTGGTTCGATGGCCCACTGCCTGATCTGTCGGTGATGATCAGTGTCGTTTTCCGGTTCGATCGTAAGGTACGAGTGTGAGTCTAAAAAATATTCTGCTGTTTGTTCTACTCCTGTGGTATAATCTGTTATTAATTTTTGATTTTTTTATGGGGCTTTCTGATCTTTGCCCTTTAAATTTTTTCCGGTTGGGGTACCCCGGGGCCCCCTTTCGGGTTTATTCCTTTCCCCTTAATTAATTTTTTCCCTTTTTTTACGCCGCTCTTCTGGGCCCTTCCCTGGCCCTGGGAAAAAGTTTTTTCCTTTGTTACCTTTTATTTTTTTCTGTTTTAATTTTTTCCTTTTTTCCCCTTTCCGGGAGCTTCCCATCTGGTTCCTATTAATCCTCCCCCTTACCCTTTTTAGTGTGATCCCCCCCCCGACCCCCTTCCCCCCCCGCCTTTTTGTTTTGCCCGTTGGTATTTTTTTTTTCGCCCTTTCCTCACCCCGGTTTTCTTCTCGGCGGGTTTTTTGGTTGGGTTTAAGGTTTTCCCAAAAAGACCCCCGTTCGGAAACCCTTTTGTTTTTTTCCCAAAATTAAAGGGCCCCGGGGCCCCCTTTTTGGTTTTTTTCAAACCCGGTTTTTTTGAATTGTTTCCCCCGGAAACCCCAAAGCCGGGGTTTGGCCA